CAAACGCCCAATCTATCCAGTTGTTGGAAAAGATGGCAGTCCGTTACCCACACATGTATCCGGTGCTTATATTGACAAGGGCGGAAGAATCATTCCAACTGATGCAAGCGGAAAGCCACTTCGAGCGGATGGATCCCTGCTTCCTACCGACGCATCCGGCAATTATGTAGCGAGTCCACATTGGGAAACTTTTGGTATAGTGCTACCAACTGATGAAAGAGGCAACGTTATCTACCCTGTAACCAAGCCTGATGGTTCTCCACTTCCCACGGACATATCTGGAAACTTTGTTACTGACGAAGGAACCATTGTTGAAAAGGACGAGGAAGGCAGACCAATTGGACCTCACGGACATGTGTTGCCAACGGATGAGACGGGGAACTACATCTATCCCGTTGTTGGACCTGACGGAAGCCCACTCCCAACAGACATTCACAAACGCCCAATCTATCCAGTTGTTGGAAAAGATGGCAGTCCGTTACCCACACATGTATCCGGTGCCTATATTGACGAAGAGGGAAGAATCATTCCAACGGATGCAAGCGGAAAGCCACTTGGAGCGGATGGATCCCCACTCCCGACAGACGCATATGACAATTATGTAACGGGTCCACATTTGGAAACAACTGCTAAGGTGTTGCCAACCGACGAAAGCGGCAACGTGATCTTCCCTGTCACCGAACCTGATGGCTTACCACTTCCTGTTGACGCATCAGGAGACTTTATCACTGATCAACCTATGGTTCTTGAAAAAGGTGAAGACGGAAAACCATTGGGACCTGATGAACAAGTGCTACCTCGCTATGTTGTAGTGACCGAAGACGGTCGTCCACTTCCGACTAATGAGTATGGTAATTCGATTGACCAAAATGGAGTTCCTATTCCCACTGATTACGTTGGGAGACCATTAGGCCATAGCAAGACACCACTTCCGACGAATGCATATGGAGAATACGTCATGGTGCCCAGCCGACGGCATTCAAGTCATTGCATCGTTTCGTCCCACATTGAGTTGGTGGTTATTCTTGATACTTCGAACAGTATCAAGGTTCTTGATTATCGCATCATGAAGGAGCTACTAAAGAACTTTTTAGTCGATCATTTTGACATGACAAAGAACAAAGTTCGTGTTGGCGTCGTGAAATACGGAGAGACTGCAGAAATACCAATTTCTCTTGGAGATTACGACGACATAGACGAGCTTTTGCACCGAATCAGCGATACAAGGCGGGTTAAGGGGAAGCCTATGCTTGGATTAGCGCTTAAGGAGGCTGCTGGAGAACTTCTAATCTCGGGCTCTGAAAACATTCCCAAATTCCTGCTACTTCTTAAAAACGGTGCATCATTGTGAGTGAATTTGTTTAGTTTTTTCTTCCATGCTATTAGTTCAATTCAATGTCTTACTTTGCAACAACAAACTGCCGATATTTTTTGATTTCAGCACACTTAGTGAGGAAATAATTAGCGTTTTTGGCATTAGGCGAATATATCGCAGATGACTGTGAGGTTTATTAATTCGCTTAGGAACCCATGAAATCTATCAAGCTAAGCTTCTTCAAAATGCACCGAGTATGTTGTGTTCCAAAGACAAAATTATAATTCTGGGGTGCCCATGGTCTTAGGAAAACGATTTATTTTCGCTCTTTGTTTTTTTGCTTCGTATTGCGAAAACGAATGCCACTTATCAAGTCGTACTCGAGAAAACCACGATCTCCCACAATGTGTCGCAGATGTTTGATGCTGCACATGGGATGGAGTTTTGAGAGATCTAAATTTCTCTTTCAACCTTTCGGGTACGTCTACCAAAAATTTAGGCGCATTTAAAATTGACACCGTTTTTATGGGAGTTTTGTAAGCGCCTCATATGATCGACCATTACATTTTCTACAAATTTATGAGGTGCTCAACCCTGTGTAAAGCGCATGTGGCGCAGTGGTCGGAGGGGCTTTGCAACATACACGTGTAATCGCTCTCCGTGCACATGGCCCACCAAACCTTCAGTAACTGCGGGATCGGATCGGCAAATTGGTACCAGACTTGTCTGTGATGATAGCAGCACTGGCTCAATACATCGGTAGACCATCGCGAGTCATTGTAAAGGTCAGGTATGCGCTCAATCACCACTAAACGATACCTAATGAAGTCGAGTGCATGGCGCACCCCTCAGGGATTAACCAACGCCGAGAGCTTTATCCTTTTATTCAACCGGTGTGTAAAAATGGTGTCCTCTAATAAACTTATTACTAGTATTTCTGTTCGCAAAGAGTTGGCCGGTATGTGATTTTCAATTAAATTCTTTATGTGGTTATGAGGAACCATTGATTTTCTTAATTTAAAGTGTGGAAACAAATTGTAGAATTCGACTATATTTGGAAAGGTTTTTATACAGTTCTGACTACAAGTAAAATAAATTTTGACATACCATCTATACTTCAGAGATCCAGTGCAGGAAGCCGCTGAGACGTTGACGAAGGACATCGGTGCTCACATGTTCGTAGTGGAAGCAGGCGATGATGAAAGTTCTTCTCAGGACTCCCAACTTACCGCCGACGATAGAGTGATTCGCATTCCACAATGGCATGGAACAGATTCGGAAACGCTGGGCCCCATTGCTGATGCCATTTGCAAGGTACTTTTATTGTCCCAATAAGAAGGGATATTGTGCCAATTCGCTTATTGCAATCATTCCTTTTGCCCTTTCTTAGTTCCATTTTTAGATACATCGAGCAACCAATTGCTCTGTTAGAAGAGAATGACTAACATGTCAAGAACGTCACATTACCAATATCATGCTTGACATTATAACACAAAACGAACTCTTTGCTCCCAGGATCGACATTCTCTTAACCTCACCATTGGATCATAAATTCGTCGTTTTTCTCTCAGCAATCACGAAGTTGTTAAACAGCATACGTTTACTTCCATAAAATAACACACATACAACACAATCGTAGCTGACGTTTCGGCAGAATCGCCTTCTTTGGAGCTGTTTTTACGTGCCCTCCACTAAGTCGTTGATCAGAGTCGCATATGGTTGACGACTCTTTCTGAACTCTTTGTTTTGACATTCTCCATTTCTTGTTCATATTGAAATTGCAAAAAAGTCGAACTAACGAACGAGCAACAGGCAGAAGCAAAGAGTTGAACAAGGCTTCACGCATAAACAAAGCTAAATAATTTTGCTCAATCACAGAGATTTGGAAGATGACGTTTCGTATATAAAAGGCTGATCGCAACAGTTCCTGGAATATACGTGAGAAAAGAGAAATGGTTGGGATCCGAAATAAGCGTAGTATGTAAATGAACTGTGGGCTGTTAATCAGCAGTAGTTTCAGATAGCTCCAGCAGATCCTTCACGTCAAATCACATGGCCAGTTAGAAAAACAACTATGCCATCATTCGTAACTGTTCGTTCATGTAATCAGATAGATTACCCAGTGAGTGCAAAATATCATCTGTCTCTTTTCATAACCGCTTCAAAAATCTGAAGAAACACTTGTAAAGTTATGCAAGTTTATTAATATATGTTGATATTACAGGCAGACGTCATTATCATGCTGGACTCGTCAGAGAACTTCTCTGCGGAGGAATTCTATGCAATGAAAGAAAGTGTAGCAGAACTGGTTGATGCTGGATTTGATCTCGCCCCAGATGTTGTGAGGATCGGTTTCATAATCTACAGGTGATGCCTGTAACCACAACTTACCCATATTGCGTTCTGATTTGATTATTACCCACTCTCAGTTATCAAATAACTTATGCAAACATGTTTATTTTTAAAATTCTTCAACTTCTTTAGTAATTTTTCCAATTCTGCTAGCAAATAACACTGGACTATTAAGTATCTTCCTTTCTGCATATGGTTCCTGGTTCGACCCTCATCTGCACATGTCCCCTGGCCCAGTGAGTCTACGAAGAATGGCGCATTAAGCACCTATCTAGTTCTAAAAGGAAATTTGTTATTCACTCTCTTATTAATACGTCTCGAATTTCGAATACCTTTATATATCACCTTTTCTTCATTTTTCTTTATCAAAAATGCTATTTTTTGTAAGTTGCATTTACGAAAACTCATGACTAAGTAGGGTGATGTGGTGCGGATTTTTTATTTTGCTAATTTAATCAGAAACGGAAACAAGGAAAACTATATAGCGGTAGAATGTTTTACCGTGGTTTTCCTTGGCGTCAAACTGGATTCTAGGTTAGCGGTCATCAGCTAGCAAAATCTCCCAAGCCAAGAACGAGTTCAACATTTCCATCATGTAACCCATCTAGTAAACCTCTTCCAACGACAGAATGCAAATTAACCCATCCTTGTCATCCTTGTTGTTTTTTGTTATTTCCTAGTCAAACACACTTAGGGATACTGAATTTTTAGTATGACATACTTTGATCCTGTTGTGCAACTATAGTGCACGACTGAATAAAATAGAGTTTATTCTTGCCCAGTCGGGTTGGTTACCTGTTGATTAGCAGGGTCACAGGTAAAGACAGAATAATTCTTGCTGATTCTAACAGGTTCATGTGAAATAATGGGTAAATCTTTCGCTACAGGTGGAGAGGAGCATGAGCTGTAAATTTTGCTTGAACGATTCACATCTTTTAACACACGGGTTGATTTTTAAAGTATTTAATGATTCAAGGATTTTTGAAATTTAAAACAGTATCAAAATTAAGTCATAAACGCGCGTGGCGCAGTTGTCGGAGGCGCCCTGCAACACACACGTGGAATTGGTTCCCGTGCCTATGGCGCACCAAACCTTCCATCCCTCCGGGGTAGGCAAATTGGTACCAGACTTGTTTGGGAGGATAGCTGTACTGACTCGATAGATTGGTAGGCCACTGCGAGTCATTGGAAAGGCCAGATATGCGTTCAATTACCTCCAAACGATGCTCAGTGAAGTCGAATGCACGGCGCATCCCTCAGGGATTGACCAACGCCGAGAGCTTTATCCTTTTTTATTTATCAACATCTTGCTTCTGGTGTTTGACGTCCACCTACTGGTGCTTGTTTGCAGCAAATACCGTCTAACTCTTTTTTATCCAATTACGAACTTCCTCATTTATTCATCAACAGCCCTGAAAGCCTTAAAGCCTTGTCGTGCTTGCAACGAGTTCATGTATCTCCCTGAAACCTAGCTAGTAATGGACCAATATCACGGCACCGCTAGGGAAGCTACCTTCCCGTCAAGAACGGGAAAGAAGCAACTACGAAAAGTTTAAATTCTTCTGGATCAGCTGAGCTTCTGAAGGTTTAGTGTATGAAGAGAAGAAGTGTAGTTTGCTGGCGCACATTCGAGTTATTTGAGTAACGTCCTGTAGATTCAAAAGGAAATAAAGCATTTTCAGTTATTTTCATTGTTTTATAAAAAGAAGCTCGTCTCACCATTACTGTTTCAGTGATAAAGTAGCCGTTCCTGTAGCTTTGGGTCACTATGAGGACAAGATTGACTTAATCCAACAAATTTCTGACACTACGAAGATTAACGACGGAATTGCGATTGCTTTATACGGCCTCAATGCGGCGAGACAACAATTTCAAGTAACATTATAACTACACTTTATTAAATTCTCCTTAGGAACTTGTTTATCCCTATGCTTCTCGTTGGTGTGCTTTTTACTTACTTCGACCACTGTTTCAGCTTCACGGCAGAGATAATGCCACTCGCATAGTGATAATGATAACAAACGGAAGGAACAGGTTTGATTTCATACCTCTGTTTCATAATTGTTCGGTCCTTGTGAAAAGATGACAAACTGATTGGTAGGGGAAACGCAGCGCCAGCAGCTGAAGATCTTCGAGAAATGTACGGCATTCAACTGTTCATACTTGCGGTCAGTGCGGATGAGGAGGGTCTGAATACGCTTAAACGCATAGCTGGTGAAATTTTGTTCTTCAATTTCATATACTCTCGCCACCTTATTTCCACTCAAAGATAAATTTAGCTATTCTTGAGCACTGATATAACGAGGGCTCATGTAGTGCAGCAGCTAGAGATGCCGATCCCACCAAGCTCTCCGTTGATCTTGGATGGGCATCACTGATGCAAGAAATGTCTCAGAAGATAAACACGTTGACTTGCTTCATCAGTAGACGCTATATCACATTGTATAGACTAGCTGTGAGCTCAGTTCTCTACGATGCTAAGGGTGTCGAGTCCTTCAGAAATTTATTATTACTGGAAGCTTTATCCTCTATTTTTTAGCAATATGAAACAAGATATTACTCCAACTTAGAATTATTCTCAGTCAAATAAATGAAGAAGAATTATATCTTTAACTTAATACAAGTGGAATGTAATAACTCGCGTATTTTCCCACTTCTCATGCATAAAAGTTTTCCTCAAAAACGTTTCCCTTGTGAATACGTGCCCATATCTTTCTGCAACATAAATGGAAACTGTACCACATTTTCCGTAGAGTAGGGCTTATCCACTTGGCCAGTGCTAAAATTATCCTACACCTATGACTTTATAGGGAAAGAATACCCAAATCGCGTCTATGAGGTGGCAACAGCTTTTGAGCTCGATGAACAAGCAGCCACAATTAGTCGCCATCTTTGTGACTACACTACCCCTGCTAACGGTATTCATCCCACGGAGCCCACAATTCGGCGGACGACAAAGAGAGATGTGCAGTCCTCTAAGTTGGTTCATGTTGTGATAAAACTATGCGTCTGGAAGTGCCTTACTTATGAAGTTTTTTAAGTGCCATTTCACGTCCATCGAGTAACATACGCTCGCTAAAATACTCTCCACTCTGCAGTGACGGTATTAAACGACCATATCAGATTAATATTCTCATTGATGTGACCGCTCGATCATCTGCAGAGGTAATGAGTAACCTCTTGCACCAGCAACATTCATTCCCACCATAACACTCATTTTCAGGATTTCCGCCTCGTTATGGACCACCTCTCTTTGTTCTTCCAAAGACGCTTCGCTCCTGATGATACCATGCTACAGTTGGGCTAAACAATAGTTTTTCCTCACGTGTTTTAAGGTTATCGTGTTGTCAGTATTTTCTTTTAGATTCAATTTAATGACTATCAGTAGTCAAAAAGTGCTTGATGCCCGAGCTGGTCTTTCAGTTGGCGATATCGTGTTCGCCCTGAATGATGTCGTACAGGACAGGTGAAAACTGCGTCACTAAGATGTATTTATGACTTATTATCATCTACTTTCAGTGATGATGTAGAATCGGCGAAATTAGGAGTCGGCATCGATAGTCTTGTGGAGATGTCTAATGACAACTATATAAAAGGATCGTATAAGATAATGCTCATCATTAGTGCTGACAGCACCAGCAGGTAAAGTCGCTAGCACTGCTAAATCAGTTCCTACCACAATATCATTATGAATTCCTTCTAAAAGAGCAATAGCTCATGGAGAGCTGATCGCGCATGCCTTCAATTTTTCTACGTGTTAAATCGTTCCAAAATAAATGCGTAAGTCGAACGTATATCTTCAAGTGGCAAGCGCTTAGAAGGAGCTTTATTAGTTGAAATGAAAACCACTAGAATCTACATATTAATGGCAACGAGAAACAAATTGAACATATTCCGGTCGCTCAAAACTGGGGTTTTGGAGACGATGAAATCATTGAGGGCAATTTCGACCTTGTCTTGGTTTCTGAAGCATTTTTCACACAGGATGTCGTCGAGATCTTTGAAGAAGCTGTATCCTGTAGGCGAGAGATCTAGATCTGGTTGAGACAGAGTTTCGTAGCCCACATGGTGAACTTTCTGGTGGACTTCGTCGATTTGCTCTACGTACTTCGTCGTCGTAATTGTTTCACTCGAATTCACGAAACTATGATGGATTACACTAGTAGAAAACGAACAAGCGGTCAGCATGACATTCGTCTAGTGCAATTTCGGCCATGCGAAGTGCTTCAGATCCTCACCATAGTCCAACCGCTGAGCGAAGCGTCGCCGGTTTTCGAAGACGATGCATTTATCGGGACTTACCACAATATGGTCGAGAATCCGGTCTTGTTGCACAGAATGGAGGTTGCTTCAAAAATGCGATCTTTTATTTTAATTCTATTCGTACGGCACCTATTTGTTGAGCTCCTTTGACTTTCTTATTTTCTTTAGATGTTCCTAAGCAGTTGAGATGCTCACACCAAGTAGTTCCGTAGACAGTTGTGTGTGTGTGTTTACTTCCACCAAAGCCTTCATTTCATCGTTGGCAATAGCAGGACTTCAGCGAATCTAGTAGATTTATCCGAACTCCTGTTTTTACGTCTGAAATCGTAACCTTTAAAACTGGTTGAAAATGCAATTTAAACTGTTTTTCAGCTATACAGAGTGAACGGGTACAGAATGCCTTTAAAATAAACGTAGTGTTTATACCATGTAGGTTAAACCGTTTCAAACATCGCAAGCTCGTGGAACTAAGCGAATGCTTGGATTTCCTGGAATGAGAATGGCCTTAATTTACTAATGTCATCATTCTGTGCTGATAGTAGTCTTCTGTCTTCTGAAAAGGAATGAGCAGCTCTACAGATTATAAAAACGATTTGCTTAAAGCACAAGTCTTGTGTGAGATGTCTTTCGTAACACGAAAACAAAGAAACATGGGCCTTGAAAAGGGAAATTGGTATTGACGCGACTCATTCACTCATTCTGAACCTCTAGCGCTGCAAACTGTAATTTCTCACGTATTTTGAAACGCACGAATTATTTTTTATTATTATGGAGCTCATCGGTCGGCATCTACAGGCTTTCTACTCGTTTTTGAATGCTATCTGTTTCTTATGATTTATGAGTTACTCCGATGTTTCCACCTATCAGTCCGGCCATCACACCTTATTTTGGGCTTTAGTAACTTTTAGTGACTTCTGCTCGAACTTCACTGTTCAATGTAATGCTGAATCGATTCACCAAACTATAGGACGAAATCCGCTACCAGCACTTTAGGTTTCAGGACTTGCTCTACATGTGTTGGACAAAGATGAAATCAAATTATAAAGTTTTCTCTAATACCGATATCACTCATTCTCACAGATAGCATTACAATCCAATATACCCTCTGTCTATTTCGTTTCCCTTCTGGCCGTGTTCTATGAAAGCAACTATGTTGTTCGTAATGGCTCTATGATTATTCTTCAGTCATCGTTCCTAGCTACTAACACAACTTGTTGGCCTATATTACACTCAGATCCGCTTTTCTTGTAGATAGTCCCGTTTGCCATGCTGAGATCCTCTCGTAGTCTTTTCTGCCTCCTGAACCGTCTTTTATTGAACCTTCCCACCACATGAAGCTCCTTCATATCAGGTGCATACTCCATTGGTTCTGGGAGACCGGATAAATATATGAACTGGTGTGAGAAGTACTGAATCTAAACTGCTCTTTAGTGCAAACTCCTCTACGAAAATTTTGTTGAGCCTTGTTTAATCTATATCAAAGAAACCTCTCTTGTAGAAAGAATTACGACTTCCAGCAATTAATAGCAATATCCGTTGTTATATGATAGTAGTTTCAGTGATTCGGCTCTTCCATCAGCAGAGTTCGCAGCTGGTGACTTCAGTAACAACATCATCGGTTTGTCTGTTAGAAAACCGTCGACGAATCTGCTCACAAACATGGCTGGTGCGGGCACGAGGTTTGCGCCACCGATTACCGACAAACACTAACTAATGTGTGTTCATATTTCACTTAAATTATTTCCAGAGTGATTCATCTAGACTGGACATCCCCGAATGAGCTGTTCAACAGCTGGCTTGTTTATGCTATTTGCGACTATGTCACTGCGAGCACAGCGAAGGTCACTTCACCATCGACTAGAGCAAAAGCCGTGTTAACACGCAGAACTACTCGTAAGCGTTCAGCACTGCTTTTTGCTTTTGCTGAGCAATCAACTATGGTTTGTCTTATTTCTTAGCTATGCCTGCCAGCATATCGGTGCCGACGAATATCGAGGTGGTTCCGCTGTCACCAAATTCGCTCTTGGTCTCATGGACATGTTGCACCAATAACAAATCGGTATAACTTTTCGTGCTCAGAACTTCATTGTGGTGGAATTTCACCTTCACAACTTTATGAACAAGTACTCAGCTTTCACGCACTCATACTCATCGTGTCTTGTACTGCCACTATCATGACACATAGCGGCTTGCTAAAGCATTTTACCATCGTATTTTTATGAACGATCTTAACTGTCGATTTCAGAATTACACTATTCTTTATACTCACGACTACTCAATTCCTACCGACCACTGGCAGAAACTGTCCGCCACCTGTAGGGACAGTTTTGGAACAGTCATAGAGGTAAATGGTTTGAGTTGTCTCTTATGAAGAGACAAACAGATCGTTTTCTTTCAGAATCTGCCAACGGATCACGTATACACAGTCTGTGTGACGGCATCTAATGCAAAACTTAATAGCTCAGTTCCTTTACCTGAAAACGAGAACTGTGCTCAAGCCACACTAAACAAAAGTGAGGAAATGAGTCTGCCTAAAATTCGAACTTTTGTGAATTTGTTTCAGTCGTCAGACACTTTTTAAAAGAATATTCCTCTCCAATGGATGATTTCTTTCTTGGAAATACTTTCTTTTAGATTCTAAAACATCACAGCTTCCATATCTTTTCCATACCAAACTTTACCTTGTTCAACGACAGCTTATGCAGGACCATTCGGCCGCAAGCACGGTTTCCATTTGGGTGGTAGCTTGATGGTAGTACAAGAATTCCCTTGCTCATAAGGTGCTTGTGCTAACGCTTTCCCTGGTTGTGATGACAAGCAATCGCTGCCCTTTATTGGTAGAAGGGAGATTTTTAATTCGCGATAATGTCTGTTTCAGTGCTCTGTAACTCTTGGGATTATTCTACCCCTTACTGTCCTTGCGTATGGAATGTCGAACTCCTTTTCAGCCTGAATGATCCCAGTATCTAGATTAGTTCTTCTCACTCGCTGTACATCGAAATTCTCCATCGAGGAACGTTTCACGGCTACGAGCAGCCTATGATATGGGAGAATATTTTTATAATCACGCAGAATATCGTTGCATACTGTACTTTCATTTACCACTTTATTTATCAACAGATATTTGCGGAAAATCCGCTTCTTCACACACCCCTCCTTGGCGTCGTTAATGACCACCATTTCAGACACCACAGCGCCTGATGTTTATCAGCCAGTGGAAATAGCTCCATGTAATTGCCTGTGTGATCACGGAAAGGCAGTACTAAAGCCGTCGTGCGACTACTCTATTGACACATATCGTCCGATGACTACTCTTCCACCGGCGACTGAAGAGGAATGTCCTTGCAAGGTAAGCAACCGCCTTCCACATCCCCAGCCATCCGATGTGCTTAAAGAGTTTAGGGCTTGTTTACCCGGACTTTAAAAAGCAAGTAAGACCCTAAGATATACGAACATTGTATGCCTAATAAATAGTGCGAGGAAACAGGGCAACATGTAGCAAATTTGTCATTGAATAGAGTTCGTTGCCAGAAAGGCAGAACGAAAGCTTCAATAGTGCCGTGCGTAACATGTGAGCCGCTTGAAACCCTTTCATCGCCGTTCGATCTGGCCTGGGGTCTAAGTTTTGCAAATATTTTAGCATTATTTTGGTTGTATTTTACATAATAACCTTTCGTAAAAAGTGATGGATAGTGGATAGAAAGTTATGCAAAGTTATTTGCGTTTGCTGTAATCCGATATTCTGACATTTCAGTACACATCAAAATGTCCATACATATTTGAAACTTGTATCAAAGTTACCTTAACAATCACCATTTACACTCAATGATGCTGAGATATTCATAAAACTTGGACGCTAGGCCGGGTCGAACCACGATTTCCCTTTGCGGGGGTTCCTGCATTACATACTGCACCACGGAGGCCCTTGCTCTGCGTTTTTCTCGGCTAGTTTTTTACTTAATGCTGCCATCAATCACTATTTATTTTGTCCGTATTAGGGGCCAATTCTAGTTTGTGAATAGGCTAACACATGTGCCTCGTTTGGATATGCTCTCGATTAAAAACTTCGAACAAATTATCGAATTCAGCTAGTTCCTCTCCACATTCTTCTTCATTTCACAGCATTTCTCTGTTTGTACTTCTTTCACCACCATTGTCATTCGATCAGTCATGAACAAACCCGTAATTCTTACGTCACTCCACCCACCATACTTAGCATTTTTTCCAGGTCAACGCACATGCGGGCAGGTGTCCACCTGGATATGTCCTCAAAAGAGGACAGTGCTACGGTAATGGAATTTAGTTTGTAGCTAAGCACATTCAGTGGTTGAGAGAGCAACTATTAAGTTGCTCTCACAGTAACATTTAGTTTATTGATAGTTAATCACTTAGATGTGGACGAATGCGCTGTGAACAATGGTGGTTGTTCACATGGATGCGTTAACACTCCTGGCGGACATTATTGTGCATGCCCTTACGGAATGACTAGAGATCCGTTGGACACCAACACTTGTGTGAATGCAGCCAATGCGTAAGTTTCAGCTGTAGCCGAACCTGTTTACATTTCAGTTCTTGTCTGGTTATTTTAAGCAAGCTAAGGATCCATTGTCCTTATGTCCAATGCTCGAAATTCAGAGGTATTGGTTTTTCAATTCCATGATGAATTGGAATCGTTATATCAGAATTCAATGTCTGTTAATTCAGAATTCTATGGAAATAAGCGTGTTTCATTTGCTGTGTTACCAAAACGTTGAGTGAAAAGTGCTAAATAAGCCGAACAACGAAGTAGTCGGGGTTTATTCGGGACTTGATTAGCGTGGTGTATGGCACGTGAACTTCCTAAAGGGTAATCGCGAGTTTGAATCCCAACTGAGGTCCCGAGTTTTACTGATATCTCAGCATCGTTGTAGTTGTACTCGAGGTTTAGTCCGGTCTTGCTTCTTCGTATATTACAAATCAGATGCTTAGAAATGTCATTTAATAGCCGATTTTTAGATTTGATCGAATAGCTCAGCTTTTGGCGCATTATCTCCACGCCAATGCTAAACAAGCAGCTGGGAAATTGGAAACTGCTGGACAATCGCAGCAAAAGACGAAGTATAAGGTTTGTCATGACGTAACGCTTCCCTTTCCTTGGTTATAGTCCAATTTTCAAATCAGTTCATTCGTTTATTGGACATTCTGTTTCTTTTGTATACACGAAATGTATTGTGTATAAGTACGATCTAAATTCACTTTTCAATCCGAGTGTTCGTTTAGATGAAAGCCGTGTATTTTCACGGTCTTATCGATAATGTTTTCATTACTAGTGTGAAAAGTCTTAAATATTCTTTTCAATGAATCACTGTATAAATAATTTTTCTATCACAAAAAGTCCCTTCCTAATGAAGGCACTCCAAAAATGGCTCTATGTTCTGTAGGCTACGATCAAGTCCGCTGACGACAAAGCCATCACATTCGAGTGGTCCGCCGTGCCAGCGATGGTACGCCGAGCCTTCAGATGGCTCTTTTAATTATCACCCTGTCTTCTCAGTCATCTCATTCTGCACTCCGGATCTTCACTAATTGCTTTCGATGATATAGTACTATCTACTAGCTGACTTGTATTCAGATTTGATTTTTTTGTCTGATTATTTTCTTTATCTTTCATTTCCACATGTTCATTGATGTAATTTGTAAACGCTTCGTATGTTTCAACTGCCCTGTGTTGCATTGCCTAACTACTAGGTTCATTTATTACAGGTTAAAAGAGTTTTAAGATCACCGTCCATCATCACTTAGCGCTCACAAACTGCTGAATATAAATTTAAATTCACTGTTGGATAGTTTGATACACAAGCTTTTAGTATTTCTCCTAAGCTTAGAAGTAATTAGAGCCGAAAGGTCTAGAATTGGCCCCTAATACGGACATCTCTCGTTTAATATAAAAAACATAGGGCATAAATAAATGTGGATTACCTTTGTCATCTGCTATCCTATTTGTTATCGAGGAACTCAGCCGAGTACCAGTAAAGTTTTCAATCGTTACTCTTGCCTGCAAGACCTGTTCGGTGAACTCCACGCACTTAAGAGAAAGGGAATGGAAGACAATTTTAGTATTAGGTCCTTCATTTTTGTTTTAAAAGGCGAAAAGGTAACTACAGCTATTTAGCGATGCATGTCGTGAAGTAGATCTACTCTTTAATTGACATCAGATTGAAATACAAAACTTCTCAGCTTGGCTAACGACACTACTGGAGGGATATACTTCACGCTGTAAATCGCAGTGCGACACCTATATCCCTCCTGCCGAAATAGAAGGCTTAAATACGTGCATATAATGTAGAAAGAGTGAGCTGGTGCTATAATAGAGGAATTCCACTATTTCTCCAATGTCTGTAAGCAGCGTGATAGGAATTCAAGTTTGATTACAACAAAAATATTTATACACAACTTACTTGGACACCGACGCCTCACGAGTTATGTGCACCTCAGCACATTCCTCATTCGTTTCCTTACCGTGCAATCATCGTGCATGGTGGTGGTTCGGTTCGAGCACGCTGGGGCGGGTGGAGGATGCGAGTTTCATATCTGAAATTGGTGATCTATAAAACAACTGCAGACGCGAGTACAACTAATTGACTTTACAATATTAACTTTCCATTTACTACCTATTGCAATTTCCCACGACAAGGTATCATGTGTGATACAATCACAACGATGCTGAGTTATTTGCAAAACTCCGGAATGCAAGTGTCTGCGGTGAGGAACGAATGCGCTATTACCGTTTCCGGAGGCTAACGCACTCACCAACACACCATGCGGGTCCTTCGTTTCGCTGTCTCTCAGCTAGTTTTCTATTGATCAGTGCCATCAGCAATCAACCAGTATATACAAATATATATATATATATATCACCCGATATATAATACGCAGTGTCCAGTCAATAATTGGCTTTAGTTACGAACACGTACGTCCAACGATTGGGTGGTCGTCCTAAGGTTCGCATGTAGTCCAGTCTTCAGTTCCTTTCATCCGCATGTCGTCTGTTCTTCTCAATGTATAACCGACCCATCTATGTTTCGTTGTCGATGTGTGCTCTCTTGATTCTCAAAAATGAGATAGATTTTGAACATCGTAGCTTCCAATTGTGGCTAGACGTTGTGTCTGCCGATTAAATTTCAAAAGACGTCGTTGTGAATGGTGCGCAGACTTCCTTATGTGATTAAAGTATCAGCCCATGTCTGTGCAGCATAACAAAGCGTTAAAACGACTGTTGATTCGAAAAGGTGAGCGCTGACTTTCGGGTCCTTTAGATCTCAGCATATTTTTGAAGTCGTTTTCCTCTGCAAATACAGTCCATGAATGCTAGCCACGAGATATCCACCTATCTTGCACAGACTCCTTCTAAAGAATGCTTGCACCTTGGTTGATCTTAACAGAATGAGGTCTGAACTACGGAATCCGGCAAAATGTTGTGTGTACCAGTTATATTATTTCAGACTCCATTTCGCAGGGTTATACAGGCGTTGCGCGTAAAATTTTCGGGCAAGGTTTGTCAACTAATGTCTCAGGTATAAAGCAAAGCCCTGAGAAGACAGTTGGTTAGTGCGGAATTTTAGGTCCGTTAGTTGGTCGACCATTTCTCTAAAAGGCCCGACGTGCCATCTGTTTCCATTTGGTTACCTCTGCACTATGAGTTTTGAAGGAACTGAGTTTTCCTAGATTTGCGCCCATTTCTATCTTTTTTTCTTCACTCGTTGAGCTCTTTGAGTATAATCTTTGTTACGTTGGTGCTTCCTGAAAAGAGGAAGATTTTGTCGGCATATTTCGGCATTATTTGCTTTCAATACTTACGACCACTTCGTCCCAACCGAACGACTCATCACTCATTGCAATGCTGCCGTAAACAGCTCTTGTTACATGGTATCACCTTGCTGAAACCATTTTCCTATGGGGAGGGTAGGGCGTAGTTCAAATATTACTATGTGTTATAGTACTAAATAACCGTATTTTTTACGCAGAATGACAAGGGTCATCCGCGGAGAAAAGGACTCGTCCTCGTCCTGAAATGGCGGCGCAGGCTTTATCGTCCACCTGTCCAATGTCCATCTCGTTGACTCGTACAAGATCCTCCCCTCTCAAATGGCCGTCCTCCGTCTTCAACTGACGCGTCATAAGAAGACCGTAGTTATCAAATGCTATTCTCCTACCAATGAAACTGATGAGTGGGAATTAGATACGTTTTACTATCAGTTGGAGGAAGTTATCCGCAATGATAAAGCGTATTTTAAATTTTTTGTCGGAGACGTCAATGCCAGAATAGCAAAGGCTAATGAGAGCGAATACATGACTGAAAATTTTAGTTTAGAAGAAAGAAATGAAAATGCAAACCGCGTTTCAGGACTCCTGTCTGCAGCACGTTTCTTCGATGTAAACTCGTTTTTTCAGAGAAAAGAAAGCAGCCGCTGGACGTGGGAGTCTTCTAATGACACGTGACTCATGCGGTGCTTGACCGCATTCTAACAAACAGATGATATATTGGCACATCTATAGACCCGCCATTATGTACTTGTCTCGATCACCGCGTTCTTCCCGCAAAGATTCGGGTTAGCCATAATTTGGAAATGAATTCCTGCCTTCGACCACGAGGAAAAAGTTTTGTCTCTATGAGATGAGAACATTCTGAACGAATTCCTATCCAAACGTAACTGGCGGATTAAAGAAGACCCGACCGAAGACTACGAGTTGCTTGTCGAAGGACTGAAAAACCGTGCCGAATTCCCTTCAGTTCCTCAAGCAAGAAGATCGGACTGCATTTCCATTACTACTAAAGACTTACTCTAAAAGAGAAAGAAACCGAAGCTTGATCCTACTGCAAAGCGTTTAACATGGCTAGTAATAAATGCCAGATGCAGAAGAGCTTTGCAGAAAGGTCTACATCGGTACATGCAGAAGAAACTACTGGAAGCAATAGAGAAATGAAGCAGTCCGGAAAAATGTCATCGGGAGATGTGTGAGCATAATGTTCCGCTGTCAGCCATGATGAACGAAGATGGGATCGTCAAAGCTTCCCGCCACCCGCCATGATATGGAATTAATAAGGGAATTGTTCTACACCAACCTTTTCCGTTCCACAATCCCCGTCTCAGATTGGAGAAAAACCACTTGGAATTCTTCCGTCGGAGGTTCGAGTTGCGATAGAAAGCATGAAAAGAGGCACAGCTCGAGGACCCAATAATATTACCACCGACTTCCTTAGAGCTGGAAGCCACAACTTGCATGTACTTCTCTCAAGCCATGTGATAGCCTACTTTCAGAAGGAAAAAATCCCAGACCAGTAGAGGACGTGGTACACGGTCATCATGCCCAATAAAGGTGACCGAAAGAATTTTCGTAACTACCGGCCGATATGCTTGTTGAGTATACTCTACAAGCTCTTCACGAAGATTATGCTCTTGCGCATATCAAAGACATTGGATGAGGCGCAAACAGCCGAGCAAGCAGGATTTCGACAAGGATTTTGCTGCATGGACCACATCCAGACTGCGCCCAGGGTCACTAAAATTTGTCGAGAATACCACCTACCGGTAGTCCTAACTTTTGTCGACTATGAAAAAGCATCTGACAGTGTCGAAATGAATGCAATCCTCTCAGCGCTCGTTGACTACGGAGTGAACCCGTCCTCCGTAAGAACTCTGTCTGAGCGTTATGAGAAAGACACTACGAAAATGCAGCTTTCCATCGACCTCCAACGATACCTCTAGGAAATGGGGTTCGACAAGGCGATACAATATCGTCAATGCTGTTTAGTGCCGCAGCGAAGTGGATGATGAAGCCACTCATTCACTCCACTGGGATGAGAAAGGTATGTGTATTGATGGAAAATTTCTATCAAACCTTCGTTTCGATGACGAAATCGTCATCTATTCGTGAAGCATCAGTGAAGCACAGACGATGATCGTTGAGCTCAACAAAAACTGAAAAAACACGTGACTAAGCGTAAACCTGAAGAAGACCCAGCTCATGAAAAACTCATTGACCGAAGCCGAACAAGTTGAAATGGATGGTTCTTTGATTGCAGGGACCACCTTGTACGCATATCTTGGGCGATCAGAAAAAGAAGAGCAGCTTGGGCAGCATTCGGGCCTCGCAAAGAAGCCACCGATCAACTGAAGCACCCGAAAATCCACGCTCACCTTCTCGATTCAACGGTCCGCTCAGCGTTCTGTTATGCTGCTAAGACGTGGGCTGGTACTTCAACCACGTCAAGAATACTTTGCACTAGTCACAGAGAGCGTGAATAATGTCTTCTGAAATATAGCCAGCACTCTCAATATCTAGCCGGCAAGCGAAGCTCTGATCTTCGAAATCTGTCACATCTTCGAGATCCAGGAGAATACACATCGGTAGCGAAAGGCAGATGGGTTGGTCGTACAATGAGAAGAGCGGACGATAGATGGACGAGAAGAACTGTAAAACGGACTCCACGAGAATGCAGGCGTCCCCTAGCACGGTCACCTACACGTTGGGC